GGCGATTGCATCATTCTCGCTCTGCTACTTGCGGGTCTTCAGCTCAGGTGGCGCGATGCACGTCAGTTCAAGACATGGCATGTACTATGGACACAGGTCAGTCGCAAACAACTCCCTGTGTACGGGCGGCATTGAGCATGGTGCAGGGTCTCGTTTATCTCTTCATCGCAGCTATGGTTGAAGTACCAGTCGTGGTAAGTTTCGCCGACACTTTCGTTCCATGTCAGGTCGATTGCTCATTCGTACACTCGCTTTCGCTAGGCTCTGCTGATCATAGACCTGAACCGTGAGTCGTTCTGTGAACCCTGGCACTGTCACTTTCTGACATGCGCGGTCAACAAGCGATAATGAACACGGTGAGCCTCTTGCGCATCTACTGGTCCATTCATCGACGGCTCACTGCGTCTACGTAGATGTTTGTCACGCCTGAAGGTCCGTAAAAGGCACTCTTCAGGGTCCATCACTCACGGAAAGTGTCGCATTACAGTCACTATCTTGTAAACTGCAAATTTGTGGCGACATCTTTCTATGCGCTCACCTTCGTTGCAGAGCAGTGGGCGCGACACGCCTGTACCGATCTCTGAACGCGACTGTTCAGGGCCCACCCGAGTGCGTTAAGTTTTGACTTGCGATGAACTCGCTGAATGACTCTACACCCTTAGAACGTTCACGGACGGCGCACCGCAAGGCGTGGTTTCATTAGCGCGAGGCAACGAAGTGCAACTCGAAGACATGCAAAACCATGGCGCTACCACGCGCGAGAGGCCGTATGTTTATAAGCATTCGCCATGAGATGAATCATTCTTTCTTGCGAGAGGGCACCGTGATATTACTGAATATCATTGTATCCATATCTCCGCAGTCCCGAGGAGAGCGCTGGAACCGTCTAGATGCGGCTTGAATGACATTGCATAAGGGGATACATGTTCGTAGTCTAGCTATTCAGAGGTCACTAGTATGTGTTTCGGGCCTGTCCATGATAGAATATATGTAATACCCTAAGCTCCAATGCTTGTGGGTCTACAGAAAGGGATCCATTCCTCCTAGAACTTTTAAAAGATGAGATATGCGATACTTGTCTTATCCTTTGGCCGAGGCATTTCCCCCAATGCGACTACCATCTCCCGCTTTGGCCTGTCCACGTTGTCGACCTCGCAGTTCTCGAGTATGACCTTGCTTGAAGAAGAAGAATGGACGCCATCGCGCCGCTGCAATAGCGCCGTGGAGAGGAGACCGACGTCCGTCGACGTCATCTTGGCAAACCGGACGATGATGAGCTCCAACCGAGGGAATATGCGAGTATGCGATGAGGACAGTAGCGCCGGTAGATACGCTATGGCTCTGCTAGAGATAGAGAGCTTCTCTACGGCCTCAAACTTCCCAAGGATTGCCACCCACGAGGGAATAAAGCGCGATAGGTCGCTCGGACGATTGCCAAACACGTGAGGGTGCCGCGCCACGATATGCCTCACTGCGACCCGAGTGGCAGGCCACCGATCAACCATCCGCCAGATCATGCTCAACATCTCGTCGTCGTCAAAATGACCTTCGTGCAGGGCCAAGGAGAGATCTCCCTTCTGACCGCTGTAGTCATCGACGGCGGCTTCGGAGTCCATCGTCCACTGCACCGTCAACCCGCGCGCCATGTGGTGCCAAAAGTCGCTGACGACGAATCCCCCATATCCCTTGCCGCTGCCGATAGGGAATCTGGCAGACAAGTACGGTGACAGTACGCGGTCCACGGCATCAACCACCATTGCTGTAGCCGGATTATTGACGAGACTGGCATCAAGCGCGATGGTGCAAGAAGACGGCATCTCAATGCGGTCCATGAGGTTTACGATAGCTTCTATGGTGTGGCGGATGTCCAGCGACCGTAGGTTTGACAACTTGGTCGGTCCGGTCTCGAGAGTGTTCGGAGGTAGAAGGGTAGATCCCTCAAAGGTGGCGCCATCTGGAGGCTGATCCTCCCAACGAAAGGTCTCCAACAGAGGGAGCAATCTCAAGGTTTCGACAACCTCGTCCATCGTCGACCAGATGGTGCATTGACGTATGGTAAGGCTTGAAAGTTGGGGCGCACCCAGTATGGGGCATTGTGGAACAATAATGCAGTTGGAGATCCGGACCTCTCTCAAGCGCGGAAGAGGCGCTGAAAGAAAGTTGAGGCCGAGTTTGAGTATCGCTAATGGGTTGGTAGGACCGGTCATGCGAAAAGCCTCAAGCAAGGGAGCAGCGCAGTCGTCCAACATGCGCATGATTTGCCGTATTTTGCCAGGAAAGTGATGGGGCGGGAATCCGACGTACAGCCCCTTGATCCTATGAATGTTGGGAAGGATCAGGAGCATGCTATCGTGCCAGTCGGGCCGCTCTTGGACTTGGACTTTCACCGCATCGACGGTCAGTGGGCATGAGCCTGACCATTCCAGGGCCCGCTGAGTCCACTGCGTGCCGGATCCAAGAAGTAGGTCATTCCAGATGCCGGGGGTAGACTCAGATATCTCCCGCCAGCGCTTGCAAACGACTCTCAGTGTGGTCGGCAGGTTCGCAGAGGGTGGCGCGACGTAAGCTTCAAAGATATACGACAGCAGTTCTGCAGGTAAATCGGCGACGGACGGCTGCAACAGTGTATCAGCCGAGTATATGGACACTCTGCTAGAGAGGACCCACCATAGCTTCTCACGAGCTGCAGAATGATACTCGTGCGGATGTTTCAAGTGGTGGTCCGGGGTGATGAAAGGGAGGCCGGAGTGCTCTCACGGGCGCGTGGTGCACGTGCCATGTTGATCCCGTGTGGGTATCCGATTGCTTCATTCACCAAAGACTTGGACGTGTATTGCCATGTCGAGAGAGATCAAGCAGTGGACTAAGTATGACGCGGAAGACGCGGAGGGTCGTACCGTTGACTCGCCCTCCCTCGACGCTCTCGCGCGTCAACTTGAAGCTCTTTCCAACGCCTATCATGCGGATGTTGGGTTGGTCCTGAGTAGATCTGTCAAAGAACGCTGATCAGTGAGACAAATATCACTCCATCCGCACCGCACTCGATGTCCTAACTTGTTTCTGGCAGTGGTGTCTACAATCTACGGCGTTCAAGCTATAGACCAACGTCAGAGTCGAACATGATCTCATGTCTGCGCACTGGATTGGGGTGGGCCTCGTGATGATCTTTCCTATCTGTCGTCATACGAACATATCCCTATAAGCTACAGAGATGGCCGGGGCAGTCAGGAAGATTTTTCCCCGCATCATTCATGAACGACATGCCTTCCGCCGGAGCTCAAGATAGTGCTCATCTGAACCAGATCGGTGTGTCCTCGTATCCCATGTCCGCATTGTGGTGCATTCGTGCGACTCAAAACGTCTCCAGCAGACGAGGTCGCGATTGCATTCTCTGGCCTGTGGTTGTGAGTTCGCGCTTTGGTTTGATCATCTGTGATACTTGACTTACAAACTTTCAGCCACGAGTTTGTCATACATCTGCAGTACGACTGGAGGCTGTTCATGCAACCTGGCGCGGGACGTCCTTTCACGTCACACCTTGGAAAATGGGTGCGTGCACATGTACAGCGCTCGTCGGTAAATTCCAGCTGCACTGACATCTAATGAAGACATATCTGGCTTGTAGAATATGTCCTCTCGTGTTCAGCATCTGTCTGTGTATATTCTCGTTTCCTGGACGACCACATTGCCAGGTACGCGCCCTCGAACTTTGTTGAGACATCGACCAGTGAACGTTGCGATCTCAGGCCCTGATGAAGCTGGCCATCGTACGACCATGACCTTCAGCACCCGCCTTTAATGGCTAACTTCTCTCGGGTGGATAGGTGTCGGGAACCCTTGGGTTGACATGTTCATCTGCATTGCTTTCCATACGGGTGTACGTCATGCCACTTACAGCTCGGAGTCATCGTCTAGTCAGTCGCTAACTCACTTATTCACTGGGCGCTCAGTGCCGCTGTATGGCTGTGGGACAAGCGTGTTGCATGTATTCTAGCGGGGATAGATCTAACCGTCTTGGCTTTTTTCGTCTATTGTGCGTCTGCATGAGCCCTTCAACGTCTCTACCTTCTGACACCGTGATAGATATGGTCAAGGTCCGCGCTTACATTGGATACCGTGTACGGATGAGAGTGATACAATGCGCAGGTCGATTCGTCGTACGATCCGATGATACAAAGCTGCATTCTCAACGGAGTGCTTGACGATCTGTTACCCTCCGTAGCGCTTCTCGCCGGTGATTGCGTGGTTCTAGCCCTTCTATTGACTGGTCTACAAAGAAAATGGCGGGACGTCCGACACCTACGATTGTGGAACGTGCTCTGGTCTCAGGTTAGCATTGCATCCCATCTTACACTATATCCAGATACTGAGCACATCTCAGGGTTTGTTCTACCTTGTCATTGCTGCGCTGGTTGAGGTACCGGTGGTGGTGGGTTTGCCTACTACCGACTCATGGCAAAAATTGACCATTATGCACAGGTATTGCTTTTCGTAGACTTGGATCGTGAGCCCAGATGCGTTGTACAGATAGAGTTCGCCTGAACTTGCCTGATTAGCGGGTGTGAATGCGGTGGGCATATATCTTGTGTATGAGGTCCTGGAAACGCTTTATTCACATCAATGCCACCAAGATCATTATCGACTACGAAGGTCTGTATACGCTCCACTCCTTTCAAGCCACGACTCATCATAGCGGCCGACCTTCACTACCCCATGACCAGTTTTCCTCTTGTGAGTTCAAGTGCAGCCCAGGCGACCCAAACACACCATTGACGATGTCTAGGGCACTATGCTCGACGCGCATGTTTCGTTTCCTGAACGGAACACTGGGAGGCCGAGAAGGAGAGTCAGAGTAAGTGTCGTCGAACACTATCTCACTGGCGGCACTCGGGTTCATAATGCTCAGGGTATTCACCAATGGTGCACCGCGTGGCAGGCTGGCCATGCTGCAAGGCGATAGCGTCCGCCTGGTCACCATCCGAACCGATAACATGAGGCAAGAATGACAGTGGCAAATGGTTGAGCGAATGACATGCCATGATAGGCAGTGTGGAGAGAGTGGCAGCGCATATCCTCTGTTGTGACCTCATCTCGTTCTCGCTGTCCTACGCGGTGTGATTCGAGATATGATCCCAAGTGTCGGAAAGGAGTCCGTAAGATAAAAGATAGCCTGTGTCCTGTCATTCGCGTTGAGGTCGATTCGAATTGGATACAAGCCCGTCGCTCAATTGGGTGCACGCTGAGTCCAGTGCGTGCTGAGTCCAGATATCATTACATAGTTTGGATACTGGGCATTGAATCTGCAACTCCACACCGACGCCTGCGAACGGCTCTCAGGAGGGTCGATAAGCCCGCTTATGACGTATTGACGTAGGGTTTGAAGATATTTGAGAGTAGTTCCACGAGTAGTAAGTCGGCGACCATGCCTATCATGCACGATCCGTGCCGAGGAGATTGAGCTTGGACTTACTGCCCGGGTGATGGCTGTCAAAGATCAAGCTGCAAGTCGCGCAGGCGAGCCATGACATCGCGACAACTCAACATTTGCTTACGACACGATCACATGGGTTCTTGGATATTCGACGCGCGCCGACGCATTTGTGTCGCCTCTGAGTCTGTCGAGGACATCGAGACCGTATATGGCTTATCTGGTCAATAAAACAATTCCGACTGTGCATGGACATCACACGATACTAGCTGACCTCTTGTAAGCACACCACATATATACTCTTTCGCGACGAGCGCAATGTCGAGGCGATGGACAATGGGTGATTCAACATATTCGCCCTCACTATCCGGATGAAGATGCACGAACAAAGAGGGCCATATAATCAATGATAGCCAGTACATAGATTGAAGTAGTTTCCGAGGGTCAAGTACAGGCAACGAAGGCGGCCACCCTTCGTGACAAAACCGGGCGAGGGACTCACTTGGCGGCCAGTCGGTAGCCTACCCGATCCCACATCGCACCAGGGCCATCCTCCGCAGCCCATCCAAGTCTCTCCATACTCAGGAGAGCACACCTCAAGAACAAGGTTCCATCAAGGAGCTCAGAACCCTGAAGGGCGCCACCGTACTCGCCCTGCGCTCGCCGTCCGTACCAAGTATCCGCAGCGGCAAGCGCGCGTACCAGTTTGGGTAGATGTTCGTTCGGGTGACACGCGGCATTTGTAATGATGCGCGGCCACGCGCGTGCGCCCGCAGGCATCGTCTTCTGCTTGGAAGGGTCGATGAACTCGCGCTTGGGTGGCTTGCCCGGGGCATACGCGTGCGGAGGGGGTGGCGGAGAGAGCAGAGTATCGGTTGCGGCATAGAAAGCCGGGATCGCTTTGGCGAATGAAGAAAGAGAGGGGCGCGGGCGTGCAAGGAACCACAGCGCGTTACTGGAAAGGTAGGCGCGCAGGAGTAGCAGGCGGGATGAGAGTGGGAGCGCCGGGTTGAGCGCTGTCGCGCGAGTGCGCTCAGGGCGAAGGCAGAAGTTTGGAATGAAATTGGACGATGTGACGAAGTGCATCCTGAAGGCGTCTTTGTCAGAGAATGAAGTGACCGCAAAGAAGAGTCAGCGTACGAGAAGAAGTCCGCGTTAAACTTGCTGTCCCCTTTGGCAGCGTAACCGCTTACGCTGTACATCAGCGCGCACATCACCAGCACATCTTCAACTATGCCTTCGAGGCGAGCCTCAAGCTCTCCTTCGGGCACGCCAGCGGTCCAGGCATCGTACCACTTGTCTGTGAGTTCCTTGACTAGCTTGCCAGCGCCTGACTTGAGGACGTCCCTGTACTCGACCGGAGCCGATGCTTTGTCCTCGTGAGGGGGTTTCAGAGCCGTCTCGGACAACCTGGACTCGGTAAGGATGTCTGATAAGAACGAAAGAAATGGGGGTCGCGTCGTCTGGTGCTTTTCCGAAGACAGCCCTCGTAAGAGTGGATCGTGAGACGTGAAGAACTCCGAAGGTAGAATCGAACCCTGGATGGCCGAATGAATAGCCGTATGTGCAAGTCCGTCAGCAATCTGCTGTACGATGCCAAATTCTACGCCATAGCCGACGTGAATTAGGGGGTGAACTATGCCGGCGAGGAAGCGGTCGAGCATCGCAGGCTGTTGTTCATCAGGGGCAAGATTCGCGTTGTAGTTGTATGCGGATGAAAAGATGTATTTGCTGAGGACCTCAGTGGGCGAGGAGGTCGAGAGGGCCTTGCAGAAGTAGATCATGTACGCGTAGTAATACCTGAGATGACCCGCGTGTGAGTACTGCGTATGCACTTGAGCATTGGACGACAACTCACTTATCGTCGCCAAGGTGCTTGAAGAAGTTGGCATCGGTGATACGCTCAGGGCTGGGCTTGACAGGCTCGTTGTAGTCGTGTGAGATGTACGTCTCCTCGATTGCCTCTGGAGAGCCGCCTAATCCATATACGGCGAGAATGTGGTCCATCACATGGCTGTGACGTGCGTGAGCATTATCATGCGGGTGGCGGCGATCCATATTGCGCACTTGTGAAAGCTTTGTCCTCTGAAGAACGCGTGGTGGTGCAGGAAGTTATGCTTCAGTTTCTCAACAAGCACCGTCGTACTGTCCGCGCTGGTACCGGGGAAGATTAGGTTGCCCGTTGAAGTCGGTGCGTTGATGAGGGAAAGACCAAGGAGAGCGTCGGCATCGTGAGGAACCAGGGAGTCCGAGCCCGCGAGAGCGGCTTGAGGTTCCGTAGACTGGGCCATGGTGTGTGTTGGATCGGCGGGATCAATGAACTACTCATATAGTATGCTGCTTCGATGGCGATTGAGTAATCCAGATTGAGTGGACCTCGTCATATGAAGGCATCCGTGGAAGCTGACCTAGTTCGTGCGGGCAACGGGGGACTAGAAGCCCAATCGTCAGCCGACGATTTCGGAGGACTGTTACACAGAAACTGCAGTATGGAAAGAATCTGTAAGCGCATGAACACGAGGTTGAGGGCCCGTGATGAAAGTTAGGGGCGTGCTTCTTCGTAGACGCCATACGGGAAGCCGATGCTGAACCAGTGGACTCTTGAAGGACATGGTGCGCTCGGACGGCTGACACGGAAAGTAAGGGACACGCAGACACAGTAAAAGGAAACAGACAGACGCACTATTGGATACACGCAACACAGTCTGCTCCGGTCGTGCTTTGCTTGTGAAGCATCCCAGCTTGTATCGCTGTCTTTACGCGGGTCTCAGACAAGAATTGCCCGAAAGGGAAGGAGGGCGCGCGGTCGAGCGAGACGGTGTCGGAAGCGACAGGGGGAGATGAAATCGGTGCGCGCGCCCTCCGAAACACCAGGTGTGGCCCCGCCCGATTTCAGGGGCCGCGCGCGCGCGCGGGCGTGTCATTCGCGGACAGGGGCTAAACGCGCCTCTCCTCCTACCCCCACGTACACTGCGGGTGCGTGCCCGCTCCCCACCGCAATGCCGCGCGCCTCGTCTGCTCGCCGTCGCAGTGAGCGGCGAACAGAGTCAAGGGCGAGAGAGGCATGTACGGGCTCGTCGTCGTTGACGACCCCTCGCTCTTTCTCTCGATGCATGAGCCCTCCTTCGACGACGGCCGCTCGCGCTCACGCTCGCCATTGGCCGTCGCTCGATACGTACCGTACACTCGCGCCCGAGGTTCCCCGCCCGCGTCGTGGATCGTCGCGGGTCTCCACCGCATTCCCTTATCATCGTCGGGCCCATTGGCCCCACTACGAGTACGCGCGGTTACTGTACAGCGAGAAAATATACACGATTCGAATGCTACATGATACGCCACATACATATGATGTCCGATGCCAGTCCGAACCCACCAGGTAAGAGTTCGACTCGTACCCCGCTCACGCCGAATACGCCGGCCACGAGCACGCGATACGCTGGTACCCGCACTCGACCTCGCCGAAGACTGTGAACGTCGAGGTCAGCGAAGAAGTACTCGGTTAGTACGAGATCGACACGTACGAGGGGTTGCCGCCCAATAAACCTCGCGCTCCTCTGCGGTAGACTGATCGTAGTGCTCCAGGTCGGACTGCGATAGGAGTGCGAGGTGCACGACGCGAGAACGGCACGGGTTGCAGTTCCAGTACTCGTTCGTTCCCTCGTGCGCGTCGAGCCCGCGAGACTTGAAGTCGTGACGCCTACAAGACGAACATCAGTGAATGCCGAGAGGACATAGTGACAGGAGACTCACATAGAGATGAGCCGCTCGAAATCGCGATCTAGCTCTTCGTGCAGCTCACGTATTTCGCGCAGTGACCTCAGCTCTTTCTCCCGCATCGCGATGAATGCTAGAGCGAGTGCCTCAGGAAGGCACGGCCAAAAATCCGTGGACCATTGGTCGACAGCATAGCGGAAGTCCTTGCACGTCGCACCGTTGGGGGTCGATGTGGCGACGTCGTGATCGCCGAAGGCCGCCCGAAGCTCGGTGAGTACCTTCTCGCAGTTCAACCAGCTAGATGCTGCATCCTGGAAGCGTGTAGTACTGAATCTAGTGTCAACCCAGGACATGGTGGAGGTAGAGGAATGAGATATCGTACAGGAGCAAGAGTACGTGGCCAGCCCTGTCTACCTCTGTCTTGGACTGCCATCCGACTCATGCCCCTGTAGCGCGGCGTGCATTGTGGCGCTCGAGAGCTAACTGGTGAAAAGTCGTAATGCTACAGATAGATTCGATAGGCTACATGATAGTTTGGATATGTAGATTACAAGCTGTGGTGAAAGGGATACAATAATCTGCAGAGAACGAGCGAAACCAGAAGGTTCGCCGAAGATCACCCTGCATTGCGCCTGGTGCGGGCCTCGGGTGTGCCGTTTTTGCTCGAACGCGACTGTACACGGCCGTCAAGCTTCATCTTCGCAGTGATAGCTTCAAGGAGGGTGCTATGCCCGTTTATATGCTCGGGATAAGCAGCAAGAAACCTCGCCTCGTCGCGGGCAAATCTTGAAGATCGTCAGAACAGCGCTCACATGGTGACCGGCGCGAGATCGCTCACACTATAATGAACTCCTCCGCAATCCGAAGCCGCTGACGGTAAAGTACTGCGTACTTCTTGCGCTTCTCGCCCCTCAACCAATCCTTCGGCCAGTCCTTAAGCGCCGGCATCCCGTGTTGAGGCCGGCCGACATCATACTGCTCGACGATATTCCTCCACGAGTCGCGCTTCGCCGTACCAGTATACGGTACGTTCAATATCGCGAGATCTGTCGGCGCGGCTACTGAATGCGCAGACATCCGTGTCACGAGCGGTGGGCGTACCGGCTGTGCACGGCCGACATCAGGCGAGTTGTGGCGGAAATAATGAATTAACACCACGTACCGCTTGTATATGGTGGCGCGGGCGCTGTGAGCGCACGGCCATGTCTCCAGATGGGAGACGCGCACCCGCACTGAACGGAACAAGCGACCTTTGAGGTCCCTAAATATTGTACAGGTCAGTACGATCCTGACGCAGACACGTCGAGGCAACACAGATGCTTACCATTGGAGCATCTACCTCCACAAATGGCTGGCCCGCAGCAGGTGACCACGCTAGTGGCGATATCGGGGCGACAGGTGGCGGTTCGAGCCGCATACGGACCTGGTAAGACGGGTTCTGGCGCTCATCGCCAGGAATGGAAGGTGGGACTGGCGAGCGGGTCAGTGACGAGCAAATACGTGGTGTAAGAGGGAACTTACACCCAGAGGGCGGACAATACACCTGTGCCCTGTGATCGGGCGTGGACGTAGGCGCGATGCCAGGGGCAGGCAGAGGCGAAAACATGTACTGAGTGTGCGAGACTGCCTGAAGAGGTGCCTGCATCGCATCGAACCCAGCGACCAGCATCTGGCCGATCTGGTTCGTCTGCGCGAACAGCTGCCGTGTGAGATCGACCCTGAGGTCCGTGAATGCGCGGGTGAGAACGCGAAGCTGGCTGTCAGCAAATGCGCCGAACTTGTCGCCAGTGGCGTGCATGTCGTCCCATGCCGGCTCGGCATCTGGTGGTTCAAGCAGAGCTTGGACAGCAGGTCGCAGAGCATCCGCGTGGGAGTCCTCATACGTCGACAGCTCGTCCAGTAAGTATTTCAAGAGCGTATTTTTCTGTATAGGATATATATCAGTCATCGATAAGTGGCTGACAGCTCACAGGCAACGTACATCTTCGCCGGGCGCCCATCCGCCCCACCAACGGACGCGTGCGAGCGTCCACCGCGCACCTGCCGGTGCGAACGTGAAGAAATATTGTGCACCGCCGCGACGCAGGCAATGGGTTGTGAGCCGCTTGCCGCACAGCTTCATGCCCACACCAGAGGCGTCCACAAAGGCATCCAATAGACCCTGGAAGTGGTCATGCGACATTGCCGTATCGCGCTGAATGACGCCGTTTGGGCTGAAGCTGGGAAAGACATAGTCTTCGGCGCCCATTTCCCTCCCGCCGTAATAGCGAGACTCGAGCCACAGCAGCCAGATCTGCAGGTGTTTCCAGACATTCGCCGCGGGCATGTCAGGGCGGTCATAAAGGTGGTACGTATTTGCTGGAACAGGAAGATAAGCAAGATTGTCATTGGGAGACGAGGGACAGACGTACGTGCGAGATCCTCGTTATCCCAGTCACCTCCCCCATTCCTCCGAGTCCAGCCCTTGCGGTCGGTGATCTTGATGCGTATGTAGTCGGGTTCGCCATTGTGGCCAGAGACGAGAGTTATGTCCTTGCGCTTCAGCTTGAGTGTCTCGAAATTCCTAATGAAGGTGTGTGAATGGAACGATCACATGAATTCCCGAATAACCGCAACGACGTACCTTAGCCACAACGTGAACCCAACTGACAGGAACGCGCGAATGAGCAGATGCTTCGTGGTGGTAAGATAGAGAGCAGGATCTGTCCACACACTCGGCGCTCGTGCGTAGTCTGCTGGCGTGGGGACCTCGTGCTCGGACCAGGAGAACATGTCTTGCATCCACTCGTACTTCATCGCCGCCGAGTGTTTACGGAGGTCGGAAGCGCCCGAGGATTTGAATTCGTGGACACACGATTGCATGAACTGCTGGACTAGGGCCGTTTGCGTCGGGTCGCCCTCCCAGCGCCCAGTGCGGTCGCAGAAGTAGAACCGGTCGCCTTTATACACGTCAGGATCGCTGTGTGCCACGCGTCGTCATCAATCAGGATCGTCGTTGAGGTAAAGATACGCACATCTCCTGCCAGAACTTGCGTGCAGCTCCGACGTAGGAGTAGAGCGTGTTTGGTACGTATCCTTGTATGTGCAAGCCGGTGAGAAAGGCTACAAGGACTCGAGGGCTGTGTTCGTCGGGCGCGGCGCGGAAGGCCTGTCGAACGGACTGCGACGGAAGGTCATCTGGCAACGTGCCCTTTAGAAGTTGGAACTCGCACCACTCAACCATGCGCCTGACATTGTCGCTATACGTCTTATTTGTTCCTGCAGCAAAGTGGTTGTTATGCACTGTCGCTGCTCGCTGACTCTCAAGATCAACAACCGATGTCCCTCCGCCCGTGACCGCATTCTTCGCTGACTTCCTCGCAGGTTGAGTCCGACCAGCAGAGGAGTTCGAGGGGCGAGAAGGCATGAGAGAGACGGCAGAGAGGGTGGCGGGGAAGGAGACAAAGGATCACACAAGGGCACCATATATTCTATGCTGTCAGCCCAAGTCTGAAACATATCCTAGCGAAATACCGGCCCAGATCTTCGCACAACGTGCACGGCAGTACGTACTGAGAGCCACGAGGCTACGACGAAGCGAAAGGAAATCAAATAGCTTACCGTACCATCCGAATGGTCGGGTGCCACTACAGGGTCTCGTCAAGGGTCAAAGTTATAGATCATGAGCTATTCGTATGACAGAGTATGTAGAGGGCTAAGTATGTCCAGGACAGAAAGAACAGTAACAACTCCCCCACACATCAAGCGACGTGTCTGCTTGCGAAAAGGATGCCATGCATCGCTCACGCGAGCACATAGAGGGCACGCCTAGGCACGCGACGCAGGCGATCGCGTAATGGCTACATGGAATACGCGATCTTGCACGCGTAGATGCCGAAGCATTGTGGCGGGATGGTATCGATATGAAATTGGTTGGAAGGAGAGAGCAGGGAGGGTGTTGTAGTGGTGCGATGGTGATCTGGTAATAGGCAGCTTCGAGTACACAATGGCGGGGTCTGTAAGATAAAACTGTTAGAAAATAGTGCCAAAGAACATGTGCGAAGACGCACAGATGGTGTTGCACAATACACCACTCATCGAAGCACGATGGCTACATTCCACCAACCAATCCTCCCAGCTGTTGATCCTCGGGTAGCGCGACAGAGAACGCTGCGGGTGTGGGGGTAAAACTGGGCTGGTGATGGTCGAGAGAGAGAACCACCGCTCGCTGAGGCTCCGACGCCTCGACCATCATGCCTCATCATACGCGCAGATCTCTTCCCCGCGCTTCGTGTCCACGCCTAGCTCTCTTTACGCAGGCTGCCTGGTAAGGAGATTCTTTACGCCTCGAGGCATAAAGAATTTCCTTACCAGGCATCCCGCGTAAAGACGCGTAAATTCGGCCTCGCCCCCGCGCGGTGCCGCGTAGCTCGAACACCTCGAGGCGTAAAGGCCATCTATCGGGCTTCGTCGTACCAGATCGCTCTTGATTGTGCGGGATCATCTCCGAGCGCGTGTAGTCCTTCCTGTTAGCAATCGGGAGCAGACTGCCACATGTGACAATGCAGTACAGACTTACAGATATGGAGGGTAGTTCTCGATTGCCAGGAATCTTTTGTAGCATACGAGGGATTGAATACATAGACATGTTACTGTACGATATTGATAACACAATCCCACTCTACCCGAGCCTACACCGTATGCCCCACAATGAATTCGGAGAAGCCGCCTCGGCGGCCTCGCGTGTGTGCAACAAACCGTGGTAGCTGGGCTACTTAGTTGACCACTCCTCGGGTATCTTGCTCGTCCACAGTTCTCGCGTACAATGCTACTACTGACCCAAATCTCTAGCAGCCAGCAGCCACCTTTGGCATCCATCGACGAGGCAGGAGGAGACGCGGTGAGCGCGAGCACGCTCATGCGCGCGGGTACATCTGTGGGCGCTCATGCTGTCACCCTTCGCTTAGCGCCGGCCGCCAACCTCGTGCGCCCGATCCATTCCGTTCTCTTCCTCCCCTATCTCAAAACGAGATCTCCTCGATCGCGCCTTTACCCGCCTTTACCGGTACGCGTAAAGAAAACGGGATAAACTTGCTTCTCGTGGAGCCGCCATAGTTGCTTGCTTTGTAACGGGAGAATGAGCGGCGTCCGAGCTCCGGCATGTCCGGCCAGAAGTACGCGTCGGTACGGCACGATGGTTGATGGATCACGGGTTTGACAGAATGCACACCCATGAGTCGCGAGCCTCTGCAGGAGACGATGAATGGCAAGGCTATGCCGGTTGGCTGCTCTTTGTGAAGATTATTAGGTCCGACGAGTGGTGCACTTTGCGGCCACCACGCCCTTGGGTTTGAGTTGTCGCAACATAAGGTTAAGCATTACACAGTCACGATGAAGCACGGCAGGTCCGATCGTTACAAATGAGTCCAATAACCTGAGATGTCGAGGACAACACGTAGACAACACGACCGTGACGACGCGCGCGGCGAGGAGAAACCCGGCTCAACGCCACGCGACAACACGCGACGCGTACAGCAGACGCGATCACATGGGTTGTGCGCTAGTCTCCCTCGTAGCCTTTATCATAGGTTGCGCGCTGTTGCGCGATGGCATGTTCCTGATTTGAGAGTCTGAGAGCAGCGAGAAAACTCTCCAGGCATAGAAGTTCAAGCAAACCCAGCGGCGAAACTAAGGAGCCAAAAACCAGGCCTGTCGCGCGGTTTTCTGTCTTATAGTCAAGCGTATATATTCAATTCACGACCGACTAGCCAGCCCCTGACAAGCCTATATGTACACAGCTAGTATACGTACTCCTAATATACAAAGAGACCATCTTGATAGAGTACACAACCCGAAAGACGGCACTGGACGATCCTAAACAAGAATCTAAGTTACATCACTCGGCGGCCGACCTGTACCCATCTCGATCCCACAACACCTTGGGCCCATCCTCCACAGCCCACCCGAGGCGCTCCATGCTCAGAAGAGCACATCGTATGAACACAGTTCCATCAAGAAGCTCTGAGCCTTCCAGTGTACCGCCGTATTCTCCCCGCGCGCGCCGACCGTACCAAGTATCCGCGGCACCCAGAGCGCGCACGAGCTTGGGGAGATGTTCATTCGGGTGAGCAGCGGCATTGATGAAGACGCGCGGCCAAGCGCGCGATCCCGCGGGCATCGTCTTCTGCCTAGTGTGATCAAAGAACTCGCGCTTCGGCGGTGCACCAGGAGCGTATGCGTGGGAAGGTGGCGCAAGCGCAAGAAGAGGGTCGGTAGCGGCGTAGAACGCCGGAATCGCTGATGTAATCGAAGCGATGGGTGGGCTCGGGCGCGTGAGAAGCCAAAGCATAGTGCTGGACAGATAGGCACGAAGCAGGAGAAGCCGCGAGCTGAGCGGAAGGGGAGGATTCAGCGCCTGAGCGCGCGTATGCTCGGGCCGGAGGCAGAGGCACGGAATGAAGTTCGCTGAAGTGACGAAGTGCATCCTAAGGCCGTGATCAGGACGAGTCAAATCAACAGAGTATTGTGCGTACGTGATGAAGTCTGCGTTGAACACTCGGTCTCCTTTCGCGGCGTATCCCCCAATCCCGTACATCACCGCACCTCCTAACAGAACGTCCTCAACCATGCCTTCAAGGCGATCTTCCAGTTCTTCGTCGCTCACGCCAACGATCCACGAGTCGTACCACTTGTTCACGAGCTCCATCACCACTTGGCCAGCGTTGGAACGGAGTACAGCTTCGTATGACGGACCACCGGGGTAGTTCTCGTGAGGAAGCTTCAGAGCCTCCGCCGTCAGCCTTGGGTCTGATAAGAGCTCGGAAAGGAGTGACAGAAATGGAGGCTGCGATGCTGATGGCTTGGTCGACGAAAGACCCCGTAGTAGTGGATCCGCGGCGTTGAAGAACTCGTCCGGCAGTATCGATTTCTGGTATGCGGGATGAACAGCGGTATACGAGAGTCCGTCCGCGATTTGCTGCGTGATACCGTATTCTACACCATAACCGACGTGGATGATGGGATGAAGAACGCCGGCGAGCAGACGGTCGAGCATAGCAGGCTGCTCCTTCGCTGCGTTCGTGTTGGAGTTGTAGGCGGGTCCGAAGATGTACTTGTTCAAGACTTCGGTTGGCGACGACTTCTTGAGTTCCTTGCAGAAGTAGACGGTGTATGCATAGAAGTAACTGGTGATGAGGAATCCGGCTTAGACTCATGTCTCATGCGAACGAAACTTCGAACTCACTCGGGGTCGCCCAAGTGTTCCATGAAGTTGTCATCGGAGATGCGATGCGGGCTGGGACGAACGGCCTCGTTGTAGTCATGGGAGATGTAAGCTTCTTCGATAGCCTCAGGAGAGCCGCCCAGCGCGTAGACGGCGAGGATATGGTCCATAGCATGGCTACGTTACAACATGAGCATGGATGATATGGCGGAGGGAATGATCAATGCTGACTTGTGAAAGATCTTCCCGTCGAAGAACACATTGTGGTGAAGGAAGTTGTGCTTGAGCTTCTCTACGAGGGTAGTCGTACTCTCCGCGCTAGCACCAGGAAGAGTAAGGTTGCCCGTGGAGGTCGGAGCGTTGATGAGCGACAGGCAGAGCTTAGTGTCCTCGTCCAGCGGCAGAAGCGATCCTGGGGTAGAGGAGGGGAATTGCGAATCCGTGGGTTGCTGCATGATGAGTGAATGCTGTAGGGGACGGTGTGAGCGGCCAATGTTCATATAATAGGGCGCTCGATCATACCCACATAGTCAAAGCAGATCTGTCTAGTCATATCACCTGCATTGACGAGAGGTCGCCTGCCGCTTCGACACGCACGCAAAGTTCCCCATAAGGGTCCAACCATCAGCCCGCCCTACATTAATCATTGTAAGCGTGGGGACACGAGACTCAGGAGTCGTGATGAGCTGTCGAACCAGCGCTTCTTTGTACACACTGAAGATAGTTAGCCCGGAGATCGAAATGCATGACTGCGGTTGGCGAACCGAAGGACGTAGTCTCTAGTGTTGGTTCACAGACCATGGGGTCCGAGGAGACTGAGAATCTATTCTGCTTCCGACGCCGCATCATTGATATCTACGTATGCTGATGATGAGTATACGGTTTCATTGAGGCGCAAAACAGTTCACAAACCCATGCAAAGCCAAGACACGCATGGAGGTCTATTGGAGCACGTGACAGATACAGTCGAGTTTCGTGGGGGCTTGCTTGCAAAGCACTCCCAGCTTGCGTGGATCTACGCCGCAATTGACAACGAACTTACTCGTAACGAGAGAAGCCGAGGCAACGACGTCTCGGCCGGCACCGACTCAAGTTCGAGTGTCGAACGCGACACGCTAGACGGCTGACCATATATCCCGCGAATGGTGCGCTCATGACCTATTTGAGCACTTGATTCGTCAGGCTTGGTGAGACATGAAAAGAATGCACCATGGACTCACTTCTTCTCCTCTTTCGGTTCTAGACGATCCCAACGTGGATTTGACATGCCGAGTCGCGACTGACCATCTAGAAGGAACGGATGGGAAAGGTTTCCATAGGAGCTGTACATCGCAATCGTCAGTGCACATGCATCCACTTGGCTCGGAGTGGTCAGCTCCGTATAAGTGCGACGAGTATGCATGTGCTCATTGTAGAGAAAGGACTCTGCGAAGAGCAGTGTGTCCTGAGCTTTGTGCGTGAAACGCTTGTGACGTTCACAATTCTGGTCGAGCGTGGAGTGCCGATACAGTATGAGATTGCATTTTCATGTATATCCGTACTGACAGAGATAGAACTCCGCGTGCGCGCTCCACCTCCGTCCTCTACTAGACGGCCAATTGCAAAAGCTCGGTCTCGCCACTGTCTTCCACGATCTTTCGCCTAACTTGTTTCGCTCACGCGAGCTTGCAGTTCTCAGGTCGATATCTTTATTGGTGCGGAGCGATGATAAAGCAGAGAGAGGAAGTTGATCTGGCGCCGCACGCTTGAAGGATCGTGGCAGGCTCTAGCTGGGCTCCAGTTGGAGGGTGCCAGTAGTAAGCGTAGATCGGCAACGGCCCGTAGGCATCCCGAGCTCCTACGAGCAGTAGGACCGCGCGGTATGTCGATATGTCATTGGATATGCATGGCTACGGGAAGTCCAGCGCAGAGCGCTGCCGGGTTGTGGAGGAAGAAAGCAAGGCGCGTCAGGTCAACCGCGACGCGCGCGCGTCGGACTGAACGCCTGAGTACGCGATCACATGAGTTGAAGACACGTTCGAGGCGAATCTCGAGAGCGTTTGGAGCCCGTTGACACTGACAGCAAAAGGAGCTTCGCGTGGCATGAACAAAGTTCATAAATACACAGATAGTATCTGAGACTCATACATAATGACCACCAGCATATGCCACAGACAGCGAGTATTGATAGAACTATGACTTCTCAATCGGACGCGCGCCGGAAATGACACAACATACAGGCCAGACACCTTTGTAACATCCTATTCTTACACACACAGTACCTATCCATAATCATAAACAACGAGAACAATAAACACGGATGATGAACCAAAGATGAGAGAAACAACCTAGTGATAAAAAAGGGTGAGAGAGAGGAGGGGAAAAGAGCACAGCACGGTCGTAAGCGGTAGTAGACAATATGAAAGCATGGCAAGCACGATTCGGATTCGGTCGTGAGGAGGTATATAGTTGTGATGGAAAGACAAAAATTGGAGCTAGAAAGACACAGATGGGGAGATACAGCAATAGTCCCGAACAAGATGGAGGAGACGCTAAAAACCGACGGAGAACACGGAGCTGAGCACTATCTGTACACCGCGAGCCCAAAGAGAAGAAGTACACGAAAGCGTGAGATGAAACAATATCACAAGAAGAAGGCCATTCCGGCCACACTAGTATCCCGCCGCGGCGCCCCAAGCCGGTGGAGGTACAGGAACAGGCATAGGAGGATACCCGTAGCCCTGCCCGACGTCGTCCGCATACGCTGGTTGAGGGTGCGCATGCGCTCGCATACCCGCAAAGCCCGCTGCCATGCTCTGCGCGTACGGCGTGGTAGTGAACGCGGGCTTGGCGGAGTATGACGTCGTATCCATGGCGAAGGCCCCGGCGCCGTCTGAGGTTACGGTGTATCCACCCGTGTCGGCCGACGATGGCGCGTAGGATGAGCTCGGCACACCATTCGCAGCGTACGCAGTGGCAGCATACTCGACGTTCCCGCGGTTCATAGCCGGAGAGAGAGGTTGTGCGCGGCTGTTCGCCACCTGTTGGGGTTGATGCCCATTCACAGCTTGCGGTGCCTGCGCGTAGCTCTGCGAAGGAACGAAGCCGCCAGGCGGAACAGCGAAGCCGTTTGGAGGTGTACGGTACCCTTTCGGCGGCGTCGCATACCTGCTCCTACTGGCCTGCTGAGGAGCATGCTGCACCGCATATCCACTCGCGGGTTGCGTCGTTGTAGGTTGCGGTGGAGGAGGAGCAACGAAGCCGCCCAAGACTGCATTGGGCTGAGTCGGCGGAGCCTGAGGCGTTGGCATACCGTTCGCCTGGGTCCCGAATGAATCATAGGTCGGCGATGCGCTGGAGAACCCATTGACACCGTAATTCCCGACGTTCGCGTAAGCTTGGGCGCTCATGAAGTCTTGCGGACTTGCGAATCCCTGGCCAGGGCCCATGAGCGGCGTGTCGGCCGGCGCGGGTTGACTTGAGCTGGCCGGAACCGTCTCCTCATTGGTGGGTACGATATCTTCTGGTGAGCTGGCGGCGAATTGTGGTTGCGCTGGCGGTGGAGCCTGTGGGTAGTTGGGATGTTGCTGCTGTTGCTGCTGAAGAGGATACGCCTGGGCCTGTGCTTGGGGTTTCGGGGGGCTGTATTTCTGATAACTTAACGACGAATGTTGAGGCGGGAAAAACTGGTCTTGTTGCTGTTGATGCTGCTGTTGATGCTGCTGCTGTTGCTGCTGCTGCTGCTGCTGCTGCTGCTGCTGCTGTTGCTGTTGCTGTTGCTGTTGCTGCAAGACCTGGTTCATTGGCGGATAGTTCTCCGACGGCGGGCTGCGCCTCGCTGGGGCTGCTGGCGGCGGATGCGGAGGGGGGGCGAAGTGCATCTCCGGTGACGCCTGCGGTTGCATCTGCGGTTGCATCTGATGGTGCTGAGCATGAGCTTGCGGCGGTGATCTCCGCTGTGGCACCGGTGGCGGCGGCATCGCGTAGTTCCTCTCGGGCGTAGTCTTGACGCGTTGCTCCGGCGACGGGAACTGCTGCGTAGTTGGCGACACTGACGCCTGCTGATGCTGAACCATTGGAGGCGAGAATCCCGCGCCCGGCGGAGCGAAGTTCGACACCTGCCCCTGCGCATGCGCCTGAGCCGTGCGCAATTGTTCATCGGGCGGAAAGATGAACAAGCTGTTGCCCGGATCCTCGACTTTCGCGACGATAGGACTCTCCACGAGCGGGCTGACAAGCGCGTCCTCCTCTTTCATGCCCATCCCCAAGCTCGCACTGCGCCCGAAGCTGCCACTGACGACGCGCGGCTTCTTGCCCACGCCACCAATCACGGGCGCCGCCTTGGCTACCGCTTTCGCTCTGGCACCAGCGCCCATAGCTATAGCCGCATTCACGCCTACTATAGCGGCGTTCTCTGCGACAAATGGTATACCGGCGGTACCGGGAGGCCCACGCTTGCGCGATAGACCGTGCCGCGACTGTAGATATGATACAAGCGAGGGTGAGCCGCCATTCCCTGGAGGCGAAGAACGTTGAGACGTGGGCGGCGGTGAGTGACCAGTGCCAGGAGGATGCATCGAGGGTACAATTTGCGGGGGAGGAATCAGTCCGATGTTACTGTACTGGGACTGGGGAGACTGCGAGGGCGGGAGCATCGGTGGTGGCTGCGGCGGATGCGTGAGGGAGTTGTGGCGCGAACGAGCAGCGGACACCGTCGCATAGGCAGCTGCGAGCTGAGACGGAGGGATAGCTGACACGTGAGCGTGGGCAGCGCTAGGAAGCATGGGCGGAGCCGATACGGTCCCGGGCGCTCCCATCGCTAGTGGCGGACCCTGTAGCTGCATCGGTGGCGAGTGATTTTGAGAAGGAAGTGAGGCCTGGGTTGCGAGAGAGATCATCTGCGATGGATGCGGTATAAGGGATGGCGGGTTCAGGGCGGCCGAATGGATCGCTGCGGATGAGTGTTGGTCCTGTGTGGGCGACTGGAGCGTGTTCGGAGGCGAGGGCATGTTTCCTGTACGACCAGGTCAGTGGGCAGAAAGGTGCAGGTAAATGCAAGTGCGAGAAAGAATAATAGGGGCCGGATCTCGGGACGCGATACCCGGAACGTGGACAGGAAAGACACGCAATTGGCTAGGGATATGCCGTATGGGAAGATATCGGACGAAGCTAGAACGACTTGCCAGAGCAGGTCGTCTATATACTTTCGAGTAGCATGGGGTCTGCTCACCTGGAGTAGCCGGCGGACCAGAGAGGTAAAGCGAGCAGTTTGCGTGGTCGACCGGGAACCAAACAGGGACCTCCACGTCGTTATGTGCTTCCCTCTGCCCGATTCGGGACGTTTGGTGAGAAGCAATGTCGAAACCCAGCAATGAAAGAAGATGGGACACTCACGACTCCGTGGAACAGATCGATTATCGCGGGTGCCATTGCTTCTGGCCGGATGAGCAGGTGTAGCCGCGTGTGGGCCTGCAGGTTGCCGAGAGGCGCGTTGTCAGTTACAGGAAAGTCACGTGGGCGTAACCCCGAACCAGGAGAACGGAGGGCGGGGGAAGCGCGCGGGACACGGGACAAATGCGGAGAACAATGAACAATGGTCCCGCGAGAAGACAGATCCGCGGGATGGCGGCAAAGTGACACGCAGGTGCCAACGTTGACAGGTATGAATGTACCGTCGAACTTACCTGGATCAGCCTCTGGTATAGATACGCCCATCGTTGCGGAGGCGGCATCGTCCCCAAATCTTGCAGTTGCGGTATGATCCCTGGGTTCGCGGCCGGATGCACATCGGCATCGTCGGTGGGAGGCGTGTGTGCTACAACGAACAGATGTCTCGCCCTACTGTCCGACTCCGCGAGCGTCTTCACCCAATCCGGACGTGAAAATCAGCCTCCGCCCTCGCATCATTAATATGGCAAATGACACACCAATATGGCGTATAGCAGCGAACCGACGCTGACAGGTGGCGCACTTGGGTCGACAACGACATCAGGCAGCATCGCAGAACCCTGGGCAGGCCATACAGGTGGAGCAGGAGATGTGGCGAAGAAGCCGGCGGCGATGCGCGCAGTGGGGTTCTGCTGGCGCATATGCTGGTAGAGCACAGGGAGATAGTCGTTATGCCTTCCGTACGGTGAACGGTTCTCGATCAACACCGCTGTTGCGATATCCGACGGTACGCCCTCCTGCGCAAAGAGCGCCATAGCCGCCAGTTGATTATACTTGTCGTTCCTTCTACTTTTTTGCTACGCCGATCCCAGAAACCAGATACCAGAGAAATAATACGGGGAGAGGACGGATAAGAAGCGAGGCGGGTGACGGTCGGGAGTAACCGAGTGCGGACCGCGGGGACGGCACTCTGAGCGAAGAAGGCGCGGGCTGCAGCGTGTTCAGTGCCTCTTCCGGGCAGTCTCCCTAGATAAGCTCGCGATGTCGCTTTTCTCCCATATAAGTCCAATGTTCGCGCGTTCATCTCTTGCACACGAGGTGCGGCCAGGCATTCCGGATGCGGTACAGGCATCACTACAACAAGTGCTGTAGACCTAAGCTTAGATAGATCGCGTACAACGATCTCAGCGTCGTGCCGGACGACGTCGAGCAGGTAATGTGGCCGGCGTGCTCGGCGTGCTTCGTGCCTCGCGGCGTAGGGCAGCCAATCATCCGGTCTCGACCAAGAACCTTCCTCCAATCAGCTGCTGTATTGACTCAGACTAAACAACTTCTGCTACACCGCCCACGCAAGCGCCTGCGCATGCACTACCGCCGTGCCGCCGGCCTCATTACCGAGAACCAATGCATGAAGGCGCGCAGGCCCAGACGGCCCGCCGGCCATGCGGAAAAGGGCAAAGTCAGGCTTGTACACGGCCGTCATCCGTGGCCGGCCGGTAACAAGTGGCGGCGGGCGCTGGGCGCAGCCGAGGAAGCAGCGACGTGCGACACGGACTATACGAACGATGAATGGCGATGGGCAGCCTAAATATGAGACGTCCAGTGAATCAAGGCAAGGATGGCGAAACCGACAGGGACGGGGCAAATGGCAAGGGCAAAATCGTGAATGCATGGTATGAGGAGGGTATAGTAAGAGTACCGCGTGCTAACGAGAGAATCGAGACCATAGGGCTTGAGATTGAGACACTGTGTCCATGTCAGGCGTGTTGAAATCCATTAAACCTGCACCAGTTACGCGCGTCAGCCTCGCCATGATCTCCGAGCAGGTAGGAGAAGGGACCCACCAAGCTCAGCTCGAGCGTCCACACGCGACGCGCCCACAGCTTAACCTTGTCGCCCTTCGGCAGCTCGACCTCCAGACCGTCCCACCAACACTTCCGCGCCGGTTTGCGCCAGAAGAGAAGCAGCTTTTGAGCCGTCGCCATCTGCGTGTAGTCGACGCTCACGGGCTCGTTGTTAGGTGGGTGCGTAATGCCGGTCTTTAGGAGGACAAGTGCAATGCTACTGATGCAGCATCGGTTCGGTTCCATAGAACGGAAGCCCCAGGTATCTTCGCGATCAAAGCCACTGAGAATCGAATTCAGCTAGGATCAAAGCCGGAAGCGGAAGGATGCGCACCTCATGCAGAGCATGTCAATCAAATGTTGCTCCGCGATATTGTTCTCCTTGTTCACATTCCTCTGCAACGCCGTGAAAATGCTCTTCTTGCCCAGCAAGTATTCTCCACACTCGCGCTTCATCTCCAGCAATGTGTCGTTCGCAATTCCCTGCTCATCCGTGCTCGCGCCACTGCCGGCGGGTGGAATAGCGAAGTACTCCAGCTCCTCGCGCAAGACGATGATAGCCTGTTTGGCGAGCAGCGGGTTGGCGTTGGGCGCGAATTCGCCAGGTGATCCGGACTCGGCTAGGTGCGCTTGGGCGGCGTAAAGGCCTGGTTGGCCCTCGTGGCCGTAGAAATCGTCGGACGACTTGCGGAAGAATGCGAGCACGAAGTCGAAGCAGTCCGGGTCAAACTATTCGCCACATGTGGATATCAGTATAATACCAAGGATTGAGATGCCCCATCCACTCACATCCACACCGTAAACCTCCTCCTCATCCTCGCCCTCCTGGCGGCTCAGAACTAGTCCATTCGGGAATAGGCATAGCAACACGCTTTCGGGCAAGTTCATAATGGTTTCACGTTCCTGTAGAAGTAGTCTAGATTCAGTAAAGCCATTTCCTAAGTCAATGCCTGCGAGAAGAAAGCCAGCTCCACGATTTAGGCGCGCGCTTCGCAACCAGAGGCCCGGTACCGACGCCATCAACTCTCCGAATATAGTTCCAACCTATCCACTACCGGCCAGTACCTCCAACGTGCGCCAAACGTTTGTACAGTCCTTCCATACACAGATAAACCCAACGTGAACCAAGAAATACGTACCACAGTGAACCTCCTCCCGCGCAAGTCAAGCGCCAGCCGCGTAAGCAACGGCGGCGCAATATTCGCCTGCATCGGTGCCTGCTGCACCGACGTAATCGGAGACCCAGAGGACGCCATTTCCGCCTATGATACCTAGAGAAACAGTGGAGAAGGAAAGAGAGAGGAGGGGAAACGCGCAGGAAAGCGCGTGGCGGGCGGAGGCAACGAACAAGGCGTCACTTCGACCCGTGCGAAGATGGGACTGCGTGCCTTTCATTTGCCTTTATTCGATTATTTCGGGTTTAGCGTCCTGCCATCATCTTCGTCATGGATTTCGACCTCGAAGAACTGGTCAATGTTGAGCAAACGTCCGTGACTCTGTGATATCGACAGAATCGGTTCTGAGATGTGAATAGGTTCTATGATTCTGGGTACGCGGACGGCCGCACGCATGGGCGGATACACGGTCTAATTGAAGGCCGGGCGCTTGGGCGCGAGAAGGGCTTTGAGATCGGCGAGGAGCTTGGCTTCTATGAGGGCGCCGCAAGAATATGGGAGTCTGTCTACATTGGACAGGGTAAAGAGGGACAGTACGTCTACTCTCGCAGTTGTACATCACATCTATCGGGCTCTCTTCCTATTTCTATCATGTCTTGATCGCATAGTATTCTGAGCGCTGAAAGCTGCATAGCCGCGCAGTAACCCACGCTCGTGCTCTTCTGACGCTTCTATCTACGTTCCCGTCCACAAACCCGCATGAAGAAGATGGCATTGATATCTCCGCGCTCCTCCGTCAAGTCCGATCTCGGTACAAGGCACTGTGTGCCTCTGTTGGCGTACGCCCGAGTTTGCGCGCAGGCGAACTCGTTGATGGAGAGGAGAATATTGAGGGAAATGGCGGGCAGGGTGATGCGAAGAAGCGGAGCGTGTGGAAAGTGGATGCTACACCTGGAGCGGAGACAGGGCTGAGTTTCTGAGATCCCTCGCTCAAGATGCTGCTATGTGCGCTAAGCTCACTATTCGAGGATGCAGCGCGGAAAGCGCGCCGAACATCCCATCTCTGTTACAGCTTATCGTGAGTCTATCGTGTATTCGGACCGCCCACACGATCGCCCACGACTGGGCAGAAAAGCCGTGACAGGATCTGGACCCACCGCGGCGATGGGCCTACGCTTCTTGGCTTGGAGGGTATATTTGGCCGCAAGGATACAGTGCTTGCCTTCACTAAACGAAGCGTTATGATCCAGTCCTTTTACTCTGTGTCATGGTAGACAAGCATCTCGCGAGTACGAGTCGATGGGGGTACCAATGGACTTCTGAGTAATAATGGGGCTCATCCAAATGTGGCTGGATTCCGTCTACGTACCAGGAGGTCGCGCATATCGCACGTCGTACTGCAATCTGCGCCGCTGCGGTGGAAACAGTAATACACGTGATCGCGTTGACCGGAATGATCGGTCCACCTCGCCGCTGTGCGACTTGCCTCCTCCCACCGTCGAGCTCTATGGTGCTCCCTCTCTTCGAACTCCCGGCGAAAGTCGGAATATTATTATTGCTAGCATGCATGATGCGTGTGCTGAAATCGCATGATGGGCGGACAGCATAGCTCTTCGGAATCGCAAGGAAGGACCTCTGGCGCGCCAAGGCGTCCAGCCCTGATCTATCTCGGACTTCGACCCTCAAGCTCCGAAGGATAACAATACATTGCTAGACGAATGCAACTTCGAGAGACTGTTCCATCGACATCGATTTCCTCTTTCTTAGTTGCACGTTGTATACCTCAGCTGAGAGCGCTGTCTCCAGCGTCGTTGATGCACCTGGACCTTGTTCAAGATTCACGGCCGATGGATTCTTTCAAGGTATATTTGCTCACATCGGACCATTTTCTCCGTAGCCAAGTCGGCTAATAGTCACCTGCAGCGCGAATCCACTCGAAGCTTGGGAATGCTTGACAAGCAACTCGATTGAAGACACATACAGCTTTGTCTTGTGTTCATAGATCCATCCGGCATGCTGGTGCCATGTTGATCGACTTCTCTATGATCTTCATACCTCCCGCTGTATACTTTGGAATGGGCATAAGGCAATATACTCCTGTTCAAGTCGCTCGCTGGCAATCGCCGCCCGAATCATCGGAGCCTGAGGCCTGCGGAGTGTCCTGTTGGATCATACGCCCATTTGCCGCGTCCACTCAAAAGGCTGGCGTATCAACAGAGGCGCTATTTCATCACAAGTCCCGTGCATTTCGCCTACGTGCTTACGAATAGGTTTCACGCCATAGCGCATAGCCCACAAACACTCCGTCGGAGCGGACTCGTGTTCAACTGCAATGATGAACCTCGCTGAGAAGCAGAGCTCGACATGACTAGGCGAGCATGATCCAATAGAGTACTATATGAAGGCTGACCCCACCCACAGCTTGCTCGATACACGCCCACCATGCAGCAGACGCCAAATCTCCAACACTCCTCTATCGCTACCGGCTCACTCCTTCCGCAGGATGATGACACCCAGCTTTGCCTGTCTCTCATCAACGCTCCAACTTCAACGGGAAACCTCGTTCTTCCAGGCGCCAGTGCGGACAGTACTGAGGTACTCGTCGAGAAGCTGAAGCATAACTTCCTGCACAACAACGCGTTCTTCGCAGGGAAGGTCTTCCATAAGTGAGCTTCGATGTTAATTGTTCGAGATATCGGCTGACGAGACGCTGCAGCCATGCAATGGATCATATCCTTGCTGTGTACGCGCTGGGTGGCTCTCCTGAGGCCATCGAAGAGACGTACATATCGCACAACTACAACGACGCTGTCAAGCAGAGCCCGAACCGCATCACCGACGACAACTTCTTTGAGCACCTAGGCGACACTGAGTACGTAGGCACCCCTGCTGGATATCGGACTAGTGCTGACAGACACACTCAGTTACTTCTACGCCTACACAGTCTACTTTTGCAAAGTGCTCGAGACCTCTTCGCCTACGGAAGTGCTCGTCAAATACGTCTTCTCTCCTCCGTACAACTTCAACGCCAACCTGGGTCACAATCATCAGCAGCCGGCAATGCTTGATCGCTTCCTCGCTGGCATTGTGCACCCTTTGATTCACCTTGGCTATGGTGTTGAGTACGGCATTGTCCAGCAGATCGCAGATGGACTCGCGCACACGGCGATCCACCCCGCAGATCAAGTTTCGCTCTTGCCAGCCGAGTTTTTCGCTCATGCCGATCCATTCCTTCGTGGGCTGTCCTCGGAAGCGCGTCGGAAATCACAACCTCCTTTCCTTTCCTTCGTGGCGCAACTTCTGTCGGACTCGCGGCTGACGCCTGCGGCGCTGAAGCTACCTCACGAGAAGTACCCCCAGCAGGAGGCGTACATGACTGCCCTCGAATCTGGAGCAGGCACCGTGGTCAAGGAGCTGACGGACATCTGGTATGATACTTGGATTACCGGTGTCGACGAGGCAGAAATGGAAGAGCGCGTCGAAGGGATGGCTGAGGATATACTTGTCATGTGTGCCCTGTTGTACGGCGTAGGAGGATATGC